GAGAGTAAACCCACGACAACATTTGCAGTTCGAGTAGCGTGACGTTTCGCCAGTGATTACAACAACCAGCATAATCAGGCGACAGCCAGAGTTGTGGAGAAATCCTCCTCCTGTTTCGGTCTTAAACAGATGCTTAAATGTTACGTCGTCACTTGTGAGCCAATGCAGGTGCGAGGACCAGAGGGAGGGAGGGGGTTAAAGCGTTCATATGAATTACAGTGGATATCTGTTATTGGTTTGGTTGTTCACAATTAATCCTGATGCCTTGTTAATCTTCGCCCGCCACCGCCCGGCCAAATCCACCCAGCAAACGACAGCGAAATTCTTTGGCGCGAGGTCGTGACGGGTAAAGGAAGATCCGACCGTGTCAGTGGTCGCCGAGCAGGATTCGCTCCCGGTTGCCAAACGAATACATTGTGATGAGCTCGCACTCATTACACACACACACAAAGAGCTTGCCGCAAATGAACCACGATACCTCGCTGCTGATCTTTGTGAAGGAGCATAAGCCATCGTCACGCTTACTCCGGTTATACTCGCAGCAGCAGCGGCTTTTGGCTGGACATCGAACAAAGACGACGGTCACCGTATCGCACAGCGCTTTCAGGTGCGCTTTTGCGTCCGTCTGGAATGCTCTTCTTTCCGATATTAGAAAGTCACTGGAGCTATGTACAGTTAAATAATCTAGATTGAAAACCCATTACTTTAGAACTCCTTTTTGTGTTTCGTTTGTTGTCCTTCCCCCACCAGCTCCAATTAGCGCGGTTGGCTACGTACTGTGCAAAAGAAGTTCATCATACTACATATTTACGAACGGTCACCGAGTTTAATAGTGGGTGGCTAAAGCCTGGATTCGAACCCAGGCTACCATCGTGGTCGGCTCAGTGTCCCAAACCTCCTGAGTCATTCGGCCTACCTCTACGCAAATCACATTGTCTAATGTTTCGACTGTTATTTTGTATTATTGGATGGGTGCAATATGCCCCAGTTTTTGAGCCGGGAGAAGTTTTCGGAACATTTAAGATGAAATAAACCGTTGGGCCACGTCCATATTTAGTTTAATTCTGGTCTGGCGGTGTGGGGTGGGGTGTCAAAGTCAGCTGGGAGCCGCGTGTGAAATTAGTAAAAAAAAAACAATGAGATGACATTTCTTAGCTGTGTGCTCCCAGTAGGCGAGTGATGTTTTTCCCTTCCACTCGCTTGCTGCTTCACTCGCTCGCTCAACCACCCACCTGCTCGCCTGCCCGCTCACCCACGTTAGCTCGCACTCTCTCTTGCCCGCGCACTCACCTGCTCGCTCACCCAACCACTCGCTCCCTCGCTTGCTCACCGTCTTACCCAACCAGCCACCCACTCACTCACCCACTCGCCCAATCCATGCACTTACTCGCTTACCCATCCACCCACCCATGTGCTCACTGTCTCACCCAACCATCCTCCCGCTCACCAACGCACTCACCAACCTGCTCCCCTGCCCGATAACTTGCTCGCTGACCCAACCACCTACCTGTTCACCGACCTAATCACCCCAATCTAAATGCATTAACATGAGAACATACATACGAGCAAACACACACATGACAAAGACCCCCCTTATAACCTGCACAAATTTTTGGGGAAAGTGCTATTTACGATTACCTATGAATGCCGGCACGGCACACGGGGGGGTGTGTCGCCGTCACCACGCCCGGCCGCCTTTATCGCCCGAATGTTTACACACCGCACCTCTAGGGGAGGCCCAGGACCGGTTCAGATAATCGTCATTGGTGTCGGCTGTGAGCAGTAATCGAACTCGGGTCGCCGGGTTTGTAGTGCAGCGCCTTGACCGCGACACTGCCGCTCCCCAGACACACCGCACGCACGCACACAGACGCAGATGCGTGCACGCACACAGACGCACACGCGCGCACACACACACACAACATGCTCTGTTTCTGTGGTCCGCCAACCGCCCTCTCCGTGGGGAGACGGATTAATCCAAGCTCTGCCCCCCCCGCCCCCTCGCCTCTCCCGCCATGCTCCCCTATATCATGGTATAAACACCAAATAGGAACCCACACTCTCTCGATTGAGGTTTGGCTGTCGAGATTGAAATTTGGTATATTAAAAAAAACTGCAGCTCGCTTGTACTGCGCGTGCGTGTGTGTGTGGCGACTCTGTGTGTGTGTGTTTGGTGAGGGGTGTGTGGTGGAGACGTGTGTGTGTGTGAGTGTTGTGGTGGAGACGTGTGTGGGTGCTTGATGGAGCTGTTTGTGGGTGGTGGATATGAGTCTGGGTGGTGTGTGTGGTGGAGATGTGTGTACGTGTGGTGGAGATGTGTGTGTGGGCGGTGTGTGTGGTGGAGCTGTGTGTGTGGTGGAGCTGTGTGTGGTTAATGAACAAGTGTGTGTGTGTGTGTGGGTGATGCCCGTGTGTTTTTTTTTAAAAGGTGGTGAGGGATGTAGGGAATAAGGAATGGAAGGTGGGCGGGAAGGAAGGAAGGAAGGAGAGGGGATCTATGATTAAGGGAGCAGCGGTAGGTGAGAGAGAAATAGAGAAGAGAGGGGGAGTGAGAATTGAGAGTAGAAATTTTCTACCGGATCCTCCTCCCCGACAGCCCAGGGCAATTAAAATCAATTCCAGGCGAGGCGCTCGACAGCCACCGTGCGCTGGCGGGGAATTACACAGAGAAGCTCGCTAGCTCCGCGTCTCGCTGCCTGGTGCCACGGCGGGCTCGGCAGAGACGTGCCGGTGCCGTGGGGAGTGAAGGGGGGGGGGGGTTTGTGCGTGTGGCGGATGAGAGTGTGGGTGGTGGGCGGTGTGTATGTGTGCGTGCACGTGGTTGTATCTGGAGAGTGGTAGTGTAGCGGTTAGCGCGCTGCGCTATGAACCCGGCGACCCGGGTTCGATTCCCACTCACGGCCAACACCAGTGACTATTATCTGAACCGATCCTGGGCCTCCCCTAGGTCGATTCAGCCTCAAATGAGTACCTGGTGCGGTGTGTAAACATCGTCACTAGGAAGACAAAGGCGGCCGGGCGTGGTGTTGACCACCCACCCCCCTCGTGTGCTCGCTAACAGCACTTGCCCCAACAGTCTGTTAAGGCTATACGAGGGATCTTTGTCTTTGTGTGGTTGCTCCTAAAGTCTGTTCAGGCGATGCGGGGGATCTTTGTCTTGGTGTGGTTGGGAGATTATGTATGATGTGTGGGCGGCGCGTGTGCGTGTCTGCGGGGAGCGGTAGTGTAGTGATGAGCGTGCTCGGCTACGAACCCGGCGACCTTGAGGTCGATTCCCACTCATTGCCCTCACCAGTGACGATTATCTGAACCGGCCCTGGACCTCCCCTAGGTCGACTCAGCCTCAAATGAGTACTTGGTGCGGTGTAGTAAACGTCGTCGCTGGGGAGACAAAGCCGGCCGGGCGTGGTGCTGGCCACCCACCCCCTCGTGTGCCGTGCCGGCCTTCATAGGTGCTTGCTCACAGAACTTGCCTCGACGGTTTATTGAGGCTATACGGGGCATCCTTGTCTGATGTCCTCTGCGTGTTGTGTCTGTCCATGTGCGCCTCTCGAACATCGACCACCATCGCCACCACAGATGGTCCAGTTCTTCCCGTGCGTGCGAGTAGTGCGCGTTGTTCCCGTGCCCCGGCCTTCACAGCTGCTTCTCGCCAACAGCGCTCGCCCCAACGAGTCTGTTCAGCCGGGGGGGGGGGGGCATCGGTGGTGGTGGTGTTGGGGTGGGGGAGTCTTCGCGGGAAGAACCGCGCCATCATAAATATGGATGACCCCGCCGTGTTCGCAAGCGAGCCTACCCAGGGTGAAAGCCCTGGAGCTGATTGTGCCCTGGCTGGGATGGGTACGGGGGGGGGGGTAAGGCGTCCACGGCGAGTGTGTTGGGGGGGGGGGTGACGGCAGCATTTACGACGCCGATTTAGGCCCCCCGGTAAACAGCTTTCGCCGTAACCCGGAGGCCCCGTTCGTATCGATCAGCGCACCCTTCGACGTCTTAAGCAGTGTCGGATTTATCAGCTTGGTACGCGCTAGCTGGGAAAACACGTTTCGGTTGGGGGTGGGGGGGGGTTGTGAGGAGGTGAGGCACGGGGGGCAAGGGCTATGGGATGGGAGTCACGATGATGATGACGACGATGATGATGACCTTGTACTGTTACCATTGTATGATTAATTTTTGATTTTGCTTGATCGTAGGGTTTTCATTTGCTTATGTAGTGGCTGTTGCATATATTATTAATGTACGGCGTTATGGGATGCTATTAGCATGAATGACGCAATAATAAGTAGTATTATTATGACCATTAGCCCGAACCCAGTCCACATGTATTTTTAGTAGAAGGTGATTGTCTCTAGCTCACTGTCAAGTTGTTCTAAGCTATGCTATTTTTATTTCAGCAAGTAGGGTCCGCTGAGCAATGTAGCGACCTGGCCACAAATGATTGCTCAACGAAGTGGCTCATTACGTGTAACTGTATAACAGCGAAATACTCCGAATGCACGTCGATTCTAAATGTGGAGAGAAAATGTGGAGAGAAAAACATGAGGACACGGGGAAAAAATTATCGTGGCAACGGGGAGGGAGAAAAACACCGCAAACTCCAAATATACAGCAGCAGCAGGCGTCAGGGTCGGGATCAAACCCACGACCTCCTGTATACCAGGCGAGGGAGTTAACATCTGCTAGCCACCGTGATGATGATGAGAGAGAGAGACACGCAAACTCCAAACATACAGCAGCAGGCGTCAGGGTCGGGATCAAACCCACGACCTCCTGTATACCAGGCGAGGGAGTTAACATCTCCTAGCCACCGTGATGATGATGAGAGAGAGAGACACGCAAACTCCAAATATACAGCAGCAGGCGTCAGGGTCGGGATCGAACCCACGACCTCCTGTATACCAGGCGAGGGAGTTAACATCTCACCATGGGGGGCAACAGAGCCCCCCTTTGTCCCCCACCGCGGCTTCACCTCTGCGTGCCGCGTGCTCTCTGGCGGCGTGCAGACGACGCGGAGGCCGGTGGGAGCGCGGGGCCCGGTTCGCTGGTGGCCAGTCACCACTCGTGGACTCAGCCGGTGAAGTACGGTTCGGCCGCCCTGAGAATCCACACCTCCGCCAGCAAGGCCATGGCTCTCTGCCTGCCGCCCGGGTGAGAGTCTAACTCACGGCACAGCACCCCTCGCCGCACTCACCGCACCTCACCGCGCACTCGGCAACACGGAGACCTCGCCACGCACCTCACCAGACATCTCACCACACACCTCACCAGACACCTCACCAGACAGCTCACCAGACAGCTCACCACACACCTCACCACACACCTCACCAGACAGCTCACCACACACCTCACCACACACCTCGCCACGCACCTCACCACACACCTGACCAGACATCTCACCACACACCTCACCACACACCTCGCCACGCACCTCACCACACACCTGACCAGAAATCTCACCACACACCTCACCACACACCTCACCATACACCTCACCACACACCTCACCAGACATCTCACCACACACCTCACTACACACCTGACCAGACATCTCACCACACACCTCACCACACCTCACCACACACCTCACCACACACGTCACCACACACCTCACCACTAGGGCTGAACGATTTGGGGAAAATATCTAATTGCGATTTTTCTGACAGATATTGCGATTGCGATTTGATTTGCAATTACATTTTTAAAAGTCAAGCTTCAGTTCAATATTCACTGTGTAATAGATTTAAAACATGTGATGGAGCATTACCACGTGATACCATCAACATGTGAACTGCTCTATATATTCTAATGCATGGATGAGAACTTAGCAGATATGAATTGCTTCCAACATGTATTTATTAAAATGTTTTAATTTAAATAGAACAATCAAACATAGAACAATTTGTTAAAACAATTCCAATAAGAAAGTAATAGGACTTTTCAAATCGCAAAAAAATAACATCCTTTGCGATTTGCTAATCGCGTTGTTTCAAATACGTGGTTCGATTTGAAATCGATTAATCGTTCAGCCCTACTCACTACGCCCTCAGCAACACGGAGACCTCACCACACACCTCACCACACACCTCACCACACTCCTCACCACACCTCGTGTTGGAATGACTTTATTCAGGTGGCATCCCAGAGCCACTGCTACACTCCCTTACCCAATCTAAAGTGGCACTCCTGTTATAAACCTGCAAAGACCACGTGTTATGTGGTGATCAAGTCAAGAATTATAATCCTTTCAGCTGCATTAATCCAAATTAACTGAAAAAAACAATTTAACGGTGATGGCTTTTATTGTGTGCAGTCATTGATTGGCGGGCTGAAGTAGGCCACCTACCCGCTGCACTTGAGAAATCGGTTTAATCGCGGGCTGCTGAAACCTGGATTCGAGCCCAGGTGTTGGTGTTGTTGTTGTTGTTGTCGAGTGCTTATTGGCTCGGTGTGTCTCTCTTGCACAGCCATTGTGAACCCCCCCCCCTCCACCCCCCCCCCCCAAGCCACTGGGCTTCAGTCTCGTCACCAGATCTAACCGTGCGACCTTCCGCTGTTTTATTTCGGCCAGATCACCCAGAATTTCACCCGGCTCTCGTGACATATCGGAATTCTAAGCAGGTTTTCCGGGCCCGGTCACTGCTTTGACGGGAGACTGCCCGGGGAACGGCCAACTCGGCCTGCAAAGGAGACCAGCGGATAACAGCAAAGCAGTGGGCTTTTGGAATCCCATCGGTGCGGAGTTTAAAGCTTTAGGGTTAGCGCCGGCTTTTCTGCGAGCTCTGCCGTTGCGGCTCTCCGCTGCGATGTCCGGCGTTTCGCTCCACGCAGCCTGAATTTAGTTCCTGAAGGAGCTCCCTGCACCTGAAGCGGAAAACGTCGGACATCGCGCCGAACAACGCGTGGCGGTGCAGTCCGAAAAACACATCGCAGGGTTGTCCGGGTGATCGGGCTGTCTGTTCGGGTCACCTCCTCGTACGCTCCGGTTGCTTCCCCATACAAAGCCAGACTCTTATTGAACGGGAATTGTCAAACGTCTCAATGTAGCAGCACCCTACTGCCTAATAAGAGGCTCGAGGCTGATTGAGGCTTTTCTGGTTAAACGAATTGGCATGACAACCACTCTATTATAATCACCGAGTCAGTCTTGTCCGTAAACCCGCGTCACTGCGCGCATGCTCAACTATCTGCACGTGGCACGAGACAGGCACATAATTACACAGGTGCCTACCCTCTTGATAATAATTATAATGGATTCTCCGTAATTATATATTTTTGGCTGATAAAAATAATAATTGTTCGGTGTAATTAAGGTGACAGCTTGTGGCAGGAATGGTATTGATGAACAGGCTGGCTGTGAGTGAGCGGGTGACTCAACGCCTTCAATTTGCCTTGCGATCCATTGACATCACCGCTTCCTTTCTGCCCTTCCCACGCCCGCCCTGCCCCTGCATCCCCCCCCCCCCCCCGACGCCTGCCCTTTTTGCCCTGACCAGCCGATGCCTCTGCCCCCTTCCCTATCTCCTTCGTGCTGCCAATTTCTCGCGTCTGCCGGCCGACCCTGCGGTGACGGCCGAGCAGCAGCGAGCCCGCGGCTTGTCGCAGCGCCGTGTGGAGCGGCCCGCCCTGGTCTACAGGGCTGCTTTAACAACCCGCGACTGAGCAGGCAGTGGTGGAATTCCAAATTCCTATTTGCATGGGCGAGTCTCGCCATAGAACAACCACCGGGGCTGCATCAACGCCACCGCCCCCCCCCCCCCCACCCCCACACCACAACTCGTCCGATTTGCGAGCCGCTCGCTCGACCGCTGAGCAACCTCCGCGGTTTTAAAACCGCGGCGCGTATTCACCGCGTGCACCGCAGCGAACATTCGAGATCCCCGCGGCCTCCGGTCGGAATTATTATTATTATTTTTTTAAAGAGTAGGTTCGGCAGGTTAGGCCGTCGCGCGCCGGCGTCACGGCTCGCGAAATTTTGCCGAAAGCTAAAGAAGCTGCTCGGAAAAAAAAATGTTTACCCCGTGACGGGTTGAGCGACGTAGCGCCTCCGCTCCCCGACAGCGAGACTCCCGCCGACTGCACCCGTGCGTGTGGCCCGGCGCCTCCCTTCGCGGTCGCCTCGCGCTCTCATCGGAACAGCGCAAGCACCAACATGTTCCCATGATTTGACTTTGACGGATTGGTGTTCACCCCATCCCATCCATAGGACGAGCCGTCAAAGACAAAGGTCACCCGTGTAGGCCTTCAGCAGACTGTTGGGGCAAGTGCTGTTAGCCAGCAGCAACTATGAAGGCACCATGCCCGGCCACCTTTGTCTCCCCTGGTAGCGATGTTTATACTTCACACCGGGTACTCATTTGAGGTGGAGTCGACCTAGGGGAGGCCCAGAACCGGTTCAGATAATTGTCACTGGTGTTGGCCGTGAGCGGGAATTGACCTCGGGTCGCTGGGTTTTGGAGCGCAGTGCACTCGCCGCTGCACTACCGCTCACGTACACACACATACCTGTTGACCAATCGAACAAATCCGTACGGTTATTTGTTATTCGTACAAGTAGTCATATTTATGTTTTATTTCACCAGGTAAGGGCCACTGAGCTACGTAGATTTTTTTCAGCAGCCACCTGGTCACAAAGGATAGCTCGACGAAGTGGCTCATCGTCACGTGTAAATGTACAGCAGCCAAATACTGTGAACACGTGATGTTGATTCTAAATGTGGAGGGGAAAAAAACGGAGGGACCCGGAGAAAAAAATCCACGCGACCACGGGGGGAGAGAGAGAGACACACACGCAAGCTCCAAATACATACAGTGAGGGAAAAAAGTATTTGATCCCCTGCTGATTTTGTACGTTTGCCCACTGACAAAGAAATGATCAGGCTATAATTTGAATGGTAGGTTAATTTGAACAATGAGAGACAGAATAACAACAACAAAAAATCCGGAAAAACGCATGTCAAAATTTTTATAAATTTATTTGCATTTTAATGAGGGAAATAAGTATTTGACCCCCTCTCAATCAGAAAGATTTCTGGCTACCAGGTGTCTTTTATACAGGTAACGAGCTGAGATTAGGAGCACACTCTTAAAGGGAGTGCTCCAAATCTCAGCTTGTTACCTGTATAAAAGACACCTGTCCACAGAAGCAATCAATCAGATTCAAAACTCTCCACCATGGCCAAGACCAAAGAGCTCTCCAAGGATGTCAGGGACAAGATTGTAGACCTACACAAGGCTGGAATGGGCTACAAGACCATTGCCAAGCAGCTTGGTGAGAAGGTGACAACAGTTGGTGCGATTATTCGCAAATGGAAGAAACACAAAAGAACTGTCAATCTCCCTCGGCCTGGGGCTCCATGCAAGATCTCACCTCGTGGAGTTGCAATGATCATGAGAACGGTGAGGAATCAGCGCAGAACTACACGGGAGGATCTTGTCAATGATCTCAAGGCAGCTGGGACCATAGTCACCAAGAAAACAATTGGTAACACACTACGCCGTGAAGGACTGAAATCCTGCAGCGCCCGCAAGGTCTCCCTGCTCAAGAAAGCACATATACATGCCCGTTTGAAGTCTACCAATGAACATCTGAATGATTCAGAGGACAACGGGTGAAAGTGTTGTGGTCAGATGAGACCAAAATGGAGCTCTTTGGCATCAACTCAACTCGCCGTGTTTAGAGGAGGAGGAATGCTGCCTATGACCCCAAGAACACCATCCCCACCGTCAAACATGGAGGTGGAAACATTATGCTTTGGGGGTGTTTTTCTGCTAAGGGGACAGGACAACTTCACCGCATCAAAGGGACGATGGACGGGGCCATGTACCGTCAAATCTTGGGTGAGAACCTCCTTCCCTCAGCCAGGGCATTGAAAATGGGTCGTGGATGGGTATTCCAGAATGACAATGACCCAAAACACACGGCCAAGGCAACAAAGGAGTGGCTCAAGAAGAAGCACATTAAGGTCCTGGAGTGGCTTAGCCAGTCTCCAGACCTTAATCCCATAGAAAATCTGTGGAGGGAGCTGAAGGTTCGAGTTGCCAAACGTCAGCCTCGAAACCTTAATGACTTGGAGAAGATCTGCAAAGAGGAGTGGGACAAAATCCCTCCTGAGATGTGTGCAAACCTGGTGGCCAACTACAAGAAACGT